TACATAAAGCTAACATTGAGCACATTTATAATTAAGTTTACCTGATGTACAGCTGAAAGCATCTCCTTTGGCTGTGTTTGAGTAAGGAGTAAGAAAACAAAACTGACTGGCAGAAGCGTGTGGGTCTACATAACTGCTTTAGAAAGGTAATAGGGTAACTCTAACACTTTCTTTTTTGTTATTACTCTATCAGCTGGTATCAGAAAAAAATCGAAGATTCCAGGGGTTATGATAACACAGTACACCGAAGACATCCCAAATGGATGCAGCACTCCAGACTTCGAGCGCAAACCCATCGCATTAACGATTCAGGAAGGTGAGAATTCATCAGTCTGATTAACCTGGGATTTGGGCTGGGTTTGAAACAAGAGGACCTAGCAAATAATTGACATCCAGTGTACTGCATGCATATGATTGTTGTTAGATACAGTATGTACAATATTGCTTTTGATTGATTCAGATTATCTACAATTACAAGTAATATTTCCCAGGGCCCTTTTCTGCACTCTCCTGAGATATTGAAAAATAAATCTTCCAAATTATTGGTATTCGTGTTTTTCTTTTAATTGGAGGTGATGTTGAAGTTATAGTTATAAATCTAGATGTTTCTATTGCAAAATGAGTCTTACACATCAATAACATACTCAAAGCAAAGCATTTATTGTTAGATCTTACCTCTTAATGATTTGTAATTTACTGTATACTGTATGCTCTGTAGGGGTACTATAATTCACCACATTGTGTCAGGATTCAGTACAATACATTGTAATAGAATATGCTATGTACTGTACAGAAGTAACTCAATCCTTGTGACAACAAAATTCAGACATACAACAGAGAAAAATTAAAGCAATGGGCAGAGACAAGTTTGCTCTGAAATAAATGCAACAGAAAACTCCAAACTGCATAAGTACTGTAGTTTGCATTTTAAAGATGTTGCACCTTTTTATCAGAAGGATTTATTTATGGTATTAGTAGAATTGTTAAATATAATTGCATGAGACTGTACAGAGAGAAGATGGATCTTAAATGATATAAAAAAGATCTAGTATAATACATCCTCACTTTTAGGTGCATGGCTCAGGGGACTTTCACACACAGACTCTTGTGAACATGACTTGAATCTGTCTAGGAAATTTACTGGTTTTATTTTTTAATGCTATTAACAAAGCAAAAACAAATATCAGTAAAAATTATAACTTACACAAACTAGTAAATCAGGACCACATCACCTGAACAACTAAAACAGTTAAACTAACTCCAGTCATAACTAGCACTGGTCCATACTGCTAACTTGCACCCCCCTGAGATACACTTATACTAAATAAAATTACTTAATTACCCATTAACCATGTGAGAATGCACACCTTTCAATGAAAAATAATCCAGGTGCAACTGTTCACACAGACAAAAGCATTTTACAAAAGTGTTTAAAGCCATATTGTTGTGACCTCTGGTGGCACAATCAGTGTCATTACAGTGTTTCCATAGAACGATCTGCCACAGTACGTACAGACAGTACAGTAAAGGTAATACAAAGCATCCCAAAAAGAAACTCATTGCTTTCACCTGTATCATATTCACAAAGCTATTATCAGGAAAAAAAATGTTTTTTTGTTACAGATGCATTGGTGTTTTGTTGAACAGGCACGACTTTAGTTTGGACACTAAGTACAGTCTGGAGATCCGTGAAGTATGTTTTTAACCAGGTTGCAAACTAATGCCATGGGGCTTTCTATCCTTTATAGGTATATAAAGAATATTACTTTCTATTTCCTTTGTTAATCCTGGACAATCATATGATTTTTCATTGATCACTGAGCCCTAGATGCTGAGGTAAATGTGGGGAAAAAATTAAATATTATTCAGTTCCCTATTGCCAGGATTCCCAATTCCTGGTTCAGAGAGGATTTTCTTGCAGCCTGCTCTTCACTTAATTGAACCCTTAACAAAACTTAATTTTGTAAATTCAAAATTTCAGATTTTCTGAAGGATCAAATTCAACTGTCTTGATAGTGGTAGCTTAAAAAAAATCAGTTTAAGCATCTAATCAAAGGCTAATAACTTCAGCAGAGGACTGAGAAAAAAAAAACATACTGTAATGTTCATTACATCCTACTTATCTAAACCAGATACAGTTCAGAAATATGAACACATCTTAAGAATGTAAGTATTTCATAAGCAGAGGGACGGATTTGTGTTTGGCCGAGCAACACAGACTAATATTCAGGGCAGCATACTGACTGCGGAAAACACACTACTTAGATGTACTCTAAATGCTTTCAGACATTTACTGAACAGGTCTGGGTGCCATAGTTCATGCATCCTTAATTATGACTTGCATAATCAATCACCAGGCAGAATAATGGAACAGTGGCTAGTATTGCTGCCTTGCTTCACTGGGGCCCTGGGCTCAGTTCCAGACCTGGTGTGCTATGTGCATGTACTGTATGTTTTTTCCATGTTCTTACCCCAATCTAAAGACAGACTGCCAGATGAACTGTCTTCTGGGAAGCTTAGCCTGGGTCATGAGTGTATGCATGTCTGTGTTTGTGTTTGTGTCTGTCCTGGGATAGACTGGCGTCTTGTGCCCATTGCTTGCTTGGATAGGCTCTCCTGAGACCGTGAACTGGAAGAATCAGTTAAAAAATGAATAGGTCGATAATCAAACACCATGTTTTAATGATTAATCAGTATGAGGTTAGACCTATGTCTTGTCCAAAATTCTGACCTTGTCAGTTACGAACACTTATTGCCTTGCCTAAATGTTCCCATACCATCAATCCATTATATACAGTATGTCTCTTTCAACAGGTAAAACGGCTACATTCAAGGCAGTTGTGAAGGGGGAGCCCACACCAGTGGTTACCTGGAAAAGGGCTAAGGGCAACATGGATGACCCAAATAAATTCAAAATGACATATGACAGATTCTCCAATGAATATGTGTTACAGGTGACATAAATCTTCTGGAATACTTTGGGTAAAAGCTGAGTGTTTAAAACAGAAAAACAATAATTTACATTCTGCATATTAATAACAGGAGTAATAAAGGTGTATCCAGAGGGTAATTTGCACATGATTAAACTGTCACATGATTCATATACAAACTCGTCTATGCTTTCACAGGTAGTCCAAATCACTGGGGATGAGGCAGACACCTACAAATGCTATGCTACCAATGATTATGGAGAGGCTGTCTCCACTGCCACACTCATTGTTATTGAAGGTAAGTAAGTTACTGCCACACTGTATATTCACAAAGAATAAGCCACTGAACCGAGTCTACAGCTCTTTCATTAAAAAAAAAACTTTGCTTCCTTTGATCTTTAAATCAGCAAAATATTAACATTATCAATTATTGTTAAAGACTAATATAACAATTAACAAATACATTGTATTGTACGACAATAAAAATCAGAACAAGTGAGGTCTTGAGGAATGTGATGTAAATCATATCTTTCCACACCCCAGAAGACACTGTCTTGCACCCAGAGAGCACCTTGGCGAGTGGGACCTTGCAGTCTTCATTTGCCCCAGGAACACACAGTGGTCAAATTCCAACAAGTGACCATTAGTTCCAGGGCCTTCAGAACACTCTTAGGCCATTTATTGGTGCCCCCTTCATCCAATCAATCCTCTGATTGATCATCCACATTCTCCCTATTTAAATCCTGTTATGCCACTGGAATGGGGCTCTGATATTGATATATTCACAGCAGTGCTATGTTCATGAGATGCAAGTTGCAATAGTGATCTGCGAGATGCATCAGTCTGACAATCTGAACTCTGACAATAATAATACCTCTTAAACTTATATAGCACTTTTCTGGACACTCCATTCAAAGTGCTTTACAGGTAATGGGGACTCCCGTCCATCACTACCAATGTGCAGCCCCACCAGAACACTCACCACACACCAGCTCTCAGAGGGGTGGAGAAAAGAGTGATGAAGCCACTTCATAGATATAGATTAGCAGGAGGCCATAATTGGTAAAGGCCAATGGGAAATTTAGCCAGGAGGCCAGGGTTATACCCCTACTCTTATTGAGAAACACCCTGGGATGACAACAGAGAGTCAGGACTTCCGTTCTACATCTCATCCAAAGGTTGGCACCTTTTTACAGTATAGTACCCCTTTCACTATACTGGGGCATTAGGACCCACATAGACTGCAAGGTGAGCGCCCCCTCCTGGTCCCACTAACACCTCTTCCAGCAGGAACCTTAGTTTTTCCCAGGAGGTCTCCCATCCATGTATTAAACAGGCTCACACCTGCTTAGTTTCAGTGGGTGGCCAGATGTAAGTTGCAGGGTGACATGGCTGCTGGCTCAATCAATTGCCTAGAACTCTGAAGTCCAGAACACCTCCTCTCTGCAGTGATCATCTTCCACAGCCTGAATCCTGTCTGCCATAATTCAACACTGTCTCCTGAGTCCTGAGCTTATCCAACTTTGGCTTTCATTGCCAGCTTTTGAAGGCCACTGAGTCCCGGCATTTGGATTTCCACCTAATAGCTGGGGTGTAACATGGGGTGGGTGTATATGAACATTGTCCTAAGCACAAATAAAGTGCTCAGTGCACAAATCAACTCATGGTATCTTTCACTGATAATAAATTATGTGTGCATATGTAATAACCATTTTCACAAACTAAAAAGCTGATTTTAGTATTTTGAAAAAACATTAATATTTCTTATCTCTGTTGCTGTTTTTCAGTTGGATTTAAGAAAAAGAAGAAGCCCCAAGAGCAGAAAGAATGTGAGTAGCAATCTTGGTAGTAATATAAAAACAGAGAAGGAATTAATACTTAGAGGTGTCTCCATAACTGTCTGTAAGTTTATGCAATGTACTGTAGAAAGAGTTTTCTCCAGGAATAAGCCGCCATCTTGGTTTTAAACACAGGTCTTAACTAGAAGGCCAACTGTTACTTGAGAAATGCTGCAGAATTTAGCACAGCTGGCCTGAGTGTGTCTTGGGTCCTAGGAGGAGTTGTTTATTCCACAGGGCCATGTGCTTTCCCTCGCATGGAATTCCACTCACTCCGACTCACTCAAGTAGCTGTGCCTAATTCAGCATCTTTTCTCATTTCATAGGCAAACACAGCATTTTGGCCTGGGTTCTGAGCCAAAATGGTGGCTCCTCAGAGAGCTACCTTTCGTTACAACATAAAGTGTTGATTTATCAGTAATATCTCCTAAGAATGTAACTTAAAATTTTAAAAGTTGAAATGTTTACTTTCTTGTATTGAAATAGCTGTCTCATCCATCCATTTCTGGAAACAAACCAGGCTTCAACAACATGGCTGGGTACCTTCTTACATTCTCCCACAACCCTTTGTTTAAAGAACTCCCTCTTGTTCTCATATTGAAATGCACTTCTACACAGTTTCCATGTTTGTGTTTCACTGTTGATTCTGTCAACTGGGTTATTTTTTCAGGGTTTTGAATACTGGAATCATTATCCACTTCTCTTTGTTCGAGAGTTTATTTCTACAAAGTTCTTAGCTCTCTTAGGCAATCATTATAAGACTTAAGAAATGTACTGTATCTAGTTGCTCTGCTCTTAGACTGGTTACAGTCCAACATTATATAGAAAATCTAAATAAGGTTCTGTTAGGGCATTGTACAGCTTTTATAACATCCAATGTTTTAAATTATACTATTTACCCTAACATTCTTTCCATTTTTTAAGGCATTTCTACATTGTCTAGTAAAAGATGTAAATTGTGTGTCGACATAAACACTAAAGGCTTATTCATTAGTACCTTCTACATTTTCACTGTTTCGTATTTTGTACAGTATTTGCATCTTATGATTTTGCTTCCTGCATGTAATGCTCTCTTCTTGGCTACATTAAACATCATCTGCCAGTATTGTAACATGGCTTAACAACTTCATTGTAAAGTAAATAAGAGCAATCTAGCTGATTATACATTAATATCTTCAAATCAACATTAATGTAATGTAATCTAATCATTCAAGTCACAGGCTTGAAGTCTAGCTTAAAGCTTAATCTTTTTGTATTTTCTTTGCCACTTCTGCAGTGTTCACTAATCCTTCTATTTCTGCAAATGAAGTGTCATGCATTTAATAACAGAAAAATGATTTAATGGATGATTTCAAACATCAAGGGCTAGACTCCTATAGGTTTTATAGGTACTAAAAATATAAATGAAAAACTGTTAATTTGACTTCCTGAGATCATTAAAAATAAAATCAGAGGTGAAATTCATATCAGAGAACCTTATAAGTCAGAAGATATTCATAAATTCATAATTTATTATAATTTTTTTCTCATTAATCTGCTAGATGTTTACTTTCGCATAGTTTTCTTGCTCACTTTAATTCTATCCCTCCTCAGTTTATTTATTTTGTGAGAAAGTCATGAGCCTGCTGTGATACCCCTTATCCACCAATGCAGTGATTTGACTAAGAATGTGTTGTTGAAATCTGTTTATTTTGAACACAGACAAACAAAGAATCAAACAAATTAATAGCTTATCAAATTGAGATCATGCTTCTGACAACCTGAAATTCTACCCACTTACAGCAACAGTGACAAAGGACCCAGCAGAGTTCAGGAAGCTGCTCAGGAAACGGTAAGTTGGCATGATCTTTATACCTGGATACTCAACAAGCTTGAAAAGCATCCAATGAAAAACATGTCAGTAAATACTAACAAAAATGTCAATAAAGAATATAAATGTTTTAAGTCTTGTTAGACATACTTTACATGGCTTTGCAAATCTTAGCAGTCACTAGAAACAATTTCTTGCTGATAAGTTCTGTTTAAATTGTTTTTAATGATTTTGGAATCAGCTCAGCATGCTGTAAACTGTAGCTTTAGAAAGCAAAAACAGTGTCATGAATTTTAGGAAGGTAGTTGCTTGTATGTTTTTTCTGAATGTAAGGATACGGATACCTTATATTTTTAATTTACAATAAGCCTACAGTGTCAAAATCATTATATTTCTCAAACAGATGTATTAGCATTTGACATCACAAAAAGTAGTGACTGCATGTTTTAGAAACACAATTCACAATTACTAATTTTACCATAAAGATGCAAATACAGTATGTTATGCTAGATGCTTTATCGCAGTGCTGTGGAAGTCAGATCTTAAACCATGTCTTCATACTATACTCTACATTGGTAATTTACAAAAGATAATTTTGACATGCATAACATGCATTCCTCCATACACAGGAAAGGAAGACTTTTCAGTTAAAGTTTTTTTTTTCAGTACAGTAGTAGCATTTAGATTAAGTGATTTATTAAGCATTTCATAAATACAGAGCCCTGTCTGAGCTGTTAGAACTTTGGCCAAAGTTAAGCAAAGCTGAAAGGTACACTTCATGCAAGCTGCAAGGAGAGGCTAACAACCTCACATTTTGAAAATTACACAAATGACAATCAAATATTAGAAAAAGCAGAACTCCATTGTACCCAATAGTGGGTAAAATAGAGAGATCAAATTCAATGAACCTGTAGTGCATAAAACAGATCTACTGTATGTGTTGTAATTTCTAAAAACGTAAGTGAAACAAAACATGAGACAAAAATAAAATATTATAAAATGCCCCATATTCCTTTATCAGAGTTAATTTAATATGTGTATACTGTATTTTAGTGTTAAAGATGAAGTCAAAAAAGAAGAGAAAGTGATTGATGGAAAAGTGTGGGATATCCTGCTGAATGCTGACAAGAAAGACTATGAGCGCATCTGTATTGAGCATGGAATCACTGACTTCCGAGGAATGCTCAAGAGACTGCAGGAGATGAAGAAAGAGAGAGAGGAGGAGCAAGCAAAGGTATACAGTAGCTGTTTTTCACCAAAACACTAGTTGAAAACATCCATTTAATGACAAAAATGAATACGTATATAAATATGACAATATATCTAGATACCTATCTCTCTGTTCTCTAGCACAGGACTAAGTCCAGTATGTTTAATCCACATATCGTCTTTATAAATAACAAATTCTACTTAGTTCTACCTAATAGTAGGACTTTAAAGCAGAACATGTTTTACACATAAATTCTATGTCTGTTCATTATATTTAAAACCATTATTTCTATTTAGATTGCCATTAATTGTTTTTAGAATAATTATTTATTTTTATAGCAATAATAGTATGTCTTTGTCACCCAATTGTGGATTTATAAAGTTATGCAAACAATACAAAAACACTATTTTAGAATAATGTGCTAGAATAGATAGTGTTTAGGATATGGCTGAGTTTTTTAGAAAAGTATATGTTTGTCTAAATACCAGCTCAACCTGAAATACCAGATGAACAAAATTATTTTAAAAGAGGTAAATCTGTAAAAAAGAACTAAACCAGAGTTTAATGACTAAAGAATGCTGGAGTGAAACAAAAATCAGACACAAACATCGCAAACTATAGTTCAGACTGTGTTGGGTCAGTGTTCAGTTACAGCTCCAAGACATTTCTGTGATGCTACATTGCCAATTTCACAAATAAGTCCACTTGGTGCAACTGGTTAAGCCAAAACAGATACCTTCTGCAATTCTTTTGGGATTTAATTTAGTAGACCATATTTAGTTAATATAAATTACACACAAAAGGCTAGTGAGCAGTTACATTACTGTATTTAACATTTTAAAGATTATTCATATTTTTAAGTACTGAGTACTGAGAAAATAAATAAGCAAGCAAATTAAACTATCAAGTATTAAACTAAACAAAATAATTAATTCTAAATTCTGTTTGAAAGTACAGTATTAAATATCAGAACAAATGAGACTCCATTGATCAGTAACCTGATGATGTGATCACTTCTTTGCCTAATTTGCTGATTTAATGGGGTTGTTGGAGAAGTGTGACTGCTACAGTACATGTCACCTTATTGCAATCTGTGGTCTTTTAGGGTGAAAAGAGCTATACCAAGGCAAGGAATTTTTTGACAACTCCAGCAACAAAAAAAGAAGTGTGCTAGTCTGAAATGTATAAGACCCATTGTTGAACAGTGTAACAGATGAAAAAAATAAAATCCAGATCAATCACATGCATCCCTTATAGGGATTTTATCATCATCGCCATACTTAATTATGGTTGAATAAAAATTGCAATTATTCATTGTTTTCAACAAGTATATCATACTTTATAATGTGGTAGCCTAATTAACTACAAATGTTTTATTTATTAATCTACAACATATAATATACTCATTATTATACCCACATATTTACAGTAGATTTATATAAACCTACCCCTTAGGTAAAGGTACTGTACTGTTGCTTTAAAGTATCCAATCAATCATCATCACAGATGCACCATGAAATGTATGAATGAAAGCAGAAAATCATGCCATATGAGACAGCTTTTGCCACACAATTCCTGTAATCTCAGACCTGTAAATGTGTCTCCGAATTATGCGTCAGTGAGATCAGTAGAGTACTAGTGCATTTTAGAAGATTGTACTGGATTCTGAGATGGATGGTCTGGCATTATGGGGATGTCTTGGAGAATACACTGATTACATGATGACCTAATTTGTTCTAAAGAATTCATTTTCTCTGGAAGAAAAAGCAAAACAGTTGAAAAAAAGTTCATACTATTATTACAGTATATGTACTGTATACAGTAGGTGTGTTACTGTACATGTTATCCCATACTGTATTTATACCTAAATATAATGTAAATCAATCCAAATGTAGGGTTTACATGAGCACATCTTTTTTTTTCTTTCTGTGAAGTACAAAGTACTGTATAACTGACCTCAAAATATGGCAATATATTTCCTTTCCTTTGAAAAGAAATATGATGCTTTTAGCACTTGATACCAGTACTGAGAACCAGGATGTGTACTCTAAGTAACAGCAACGGAAGACCAATCTTACATACTGTATTTATAAGAAAGGAACGTTCTTGATTATCTTTCATGCTTTCCCAATACTAACACATTATTTTACCTTCAAACCACTGTTACACCATCTTTCAATCAGTAATTTCCTAACAAAGGCCTGTTTCTTTACAACTTTGCATTCAGCACTCCATCACAAAAATATGTATATATAATAATGGGTGATAATAATTTAGCACTTAAGAACACACACCCATTACTCATTTAATCTGAATTAATTTACAGTAAATTCATATGGGCGCATTTCATTGTCCATGGGCATTCCTGGGCAATTCATATGGGCACATTGTTGAACATAGACTTTTAATTATATTTATTGTATTTTATTATATTGTACTGTATTATATGTGCCAAGGGTATTACATTATGCTTACACTGGTAAAAATATTAGTAATCACTCATCAAGGCATGTAGAATAGCAAGCAATGTGATTTTAGCTTGAGGAGTATGAGGAGCTGGAGGAACATCCAATTCAATGTTTCACACTGTTACCTTTATGAAATCTTGACTTCATGCTAATCACGTTAGAAGAATGAGATGGTTCACAAACATTGGAGAGCAAGCTCTGCATTCTAAATCCAGCAACTGCAAGTGTGTTCAAGTGGTTTTTAACTCTCGCACAGACCCAAAAGATTTTTCATGTGCGGGTTCCTAATACTTTGAGTTGTAAGAGTAAACAAAACTTCTAGACCTTTACAAAGACAAACTATGTATTGCACAGCTTGTTTGAAACAGGTCTGCTTCTCTTTTTAAAAGCACAGTCCCTACCTTTTCTTTGCATCTGTTTCTCCTCTAGACCATCATGTTTTAAAACATCCATCTTTTTCTCCCCACCTTTCATCTCCTGTCCCTTCCCCTGTTCACCCCCGCCCCCTGCCAGTACCTTGAAACCATTAGTAACCTGAAACACATCGAAGTTAACTCAGAGGGCTTAGCGGAGTTTGAACTTGACATGGACCTGAAAGACCCCAGCAGCAGAATTTTCCTGTATAAGGTGAGATGGGTTAAGGGTTATAATCAATCCAACGGCCTGACAGCCTATTAATGGTGGCAGATCTATGCCTTACCACATTAAGCCACACATTATATAACTTTCAACTGCTCATGGACAAAACTCTGACTTTTAGGACAGGTCTCCTCTGACTGTGCTAATCTAAATACCAGTTTAGTTATTGACATTTAGTCTTCAAAGCTTTTTTTTTTCTTTGCTGCCCCATATCAATTTCCATATAGTTATGTATATTGTATGATTTTTAAAAAAGTTAAATTGACAAAAACTGTATCACAGCACTGCAACATACACAGAAAAAATACTACCTGATTTATTTTCCCCTCACAACTTTAAAACTTCACATTATATCAATATTTAAAATTAAAATTAATAAAACAATTAAAAAACCTTCCTTCATGCTTTCTATTAAGCATGATATGTAACGCTTTTTATGATCACTGGATTTATATTTAAATAAATTAAATAAACTAAGACAGATTGTGGTAAGTATTGCTAATAATGAAAGTATGTATTGTCAAAATTAATTGCAATCCCTTTTGTTGTTTATCATGAAAGTCTGATTTGCATGTCCTATCTTTCCCTTGTATACAGGAAAGTCTTTACTTTTAACAGGTGTTCAGAAGTATGGGAGTATAGTATCTTGTTTAAACATAAAAATATTTTTTTTCTAAAAATATATTTATTTTTATGGTACTAATAAGCTTCCATAGTATAGTGCAAGAACAAAGAAAGCTTTATTTCAATAAATAATCCTAGTTGAATTTTAAATTTAAATGAGATGGTAAGTCTTGATTAATTTAACAGCACGATTATTTAACGAACTTACCAAATTTATGTATTGTATCATTCTAATGACAATAAAAAAAATTTAGCTCAATGGGAAACAGAGCAGTGGTACAGGTTCATTTTCAATGGGTTTGAACGTCATGTCTTGAGAAAATATTGAATTGCACATGGAATCTCCCTCACTGAAAGGTTAACTCTACACTTTATCCCATGCTGCAAAGCTCTACGTCTGCAATGTCTATGCCATCTGAGCTTCATAGTGTGTTGCCCCTACCATGTGACAGGCACCATGTTGTGCTTTTGTCCAGTTTTATGTTTATTTTAGCCAGTTTTTCACTAAGTGACTATGTTATGGGAACACACATTACTTTAATATTTAAATAGCTATTTATTCCTTTAAGATGCCTTTTACCAGAACAAGGGGATTGAAATAGATGGACTGTATGTAATATTTTATTTAAACTATCAGTACCTGTAGAGTGCCTTTTTATACAGCAGGGCATTTACCAGAGTGAAGTACCTTCCTTGAGGGTAAACAACAGCTCCCAACCATGGATTTGCACACACAATCTTATAGTCCTAACCAATACCCCACATTTCTGCCCCGATTGTATTTTATAAATAATAATAAAAATTTCTTACACTTACTGTATATAGTGCTTTTTCAGGACACTCCACTCAAAGTGCTTTACAGATAATAGCTACTCTCCACCACCACCAATGTGCAGCCCCACCTGGATGATGCGCCAAAATGCTCACAGCACATCAGCTTTTAGTGGGGAGGAAAACAGAGTAATGAACCCAACTCATAGATGGTGATTATTAGGAAGCAATGATAGGTAAGGGCGAATGGGAAATTTGGCCAGGAGGCCGGGGTTACACCCTTACTCTTTTCGAGAAACGCCATGGGATTTTTAATGACCAAAGAGAGTCAGGACCTCAGTTTTATTTCTTATCCAAAGGACAGCGCCTTCTTACAGTATAGTGTTCCAGTCCCATCCAGGTACTGACCAGGCTCACACCTACTTAGCTTCAGTGGGTTGCCAGTTGTAAGTCTCAGGGTGATATAATAATAATAATAATAATAATAATAATAATAATAATAAAAATAACTCTCCTTGGACCAGCCCAATACTCCGCAAAGTCCTGACCACCAGACAATGCAGGACCTAAGTCAATAGCAACCAGCAAAAAAGCTGAGAAGATAAAACTTATAATTAAAAAAAATACTAATAATGTGTTAGAATGTATTCCTGAAATGTATACTTTATAAACATTGCTAATAGGCAACATGAATTTATGATAACACAAAACAATGTTAATCTATAAAAAGCTTGGATATGGCTGTTTTTTTATTTTCAAATTTCTCACACTTCATTGCACTTCATTTGTCTGAGTTTAATTCAACCAAAAGTCCACTCTTTCATGCCAACCAAAATGTTTTTAAAGCTCTCTCTACCCTGCAGGATGGAATAATGATTCCTTATAGCAAGGACATGGAAATGAAGCACTCCCTGAAGCAAGCTGGAAAGAAGTACATCTTTTGCATTAAAGACCTCGGACCTGAAGATGCTGGGCTGTACCAGGTAGATGTTGAAGAAGCCAATGTCTTCTCTACTGAACTGCCATTTAAATGTAAGTTCAGGCACCAACTGAAAACCAAGTTGTTTTTAACACAACCACTCAATCAGTAAGGTTCAGGAATAAAAAGGGATTCGAAATGTTGCACTTAGTGAAAGGCTGAAATACAATTACTGTATATTAGAGTCCAAGCTATTCCTCCCATGGATTTCACATGTGAGTTCCTCATAAGCAGTTAAAAGCTCTCCAAGCAGCACTACTGAACAGAGTAAATAAGGTTCAGGAAACATGACGGGATCTTGAGGATTTTAGTGGCGGTAGTGTTTGGTGTTCAGTTTGCACTTTAAAAGTGCTGCTTTATTCCAGGACAAGCAGAGCAAGAAAAGCATAGGAAAAGACACCAAAGGTTGCTATTTAACTAATTACATTTTCCATCCTAAATGGACCTTCTCCCATTTACGGATAATAGCTACTCTCCACCACCACCAATCAAATGGGCACTCATGCTTTTCACTGCAAAGCATGAGTGCCCATTTGATTCCCAAATTCCAAACAATTCTTTGTGGTGTCAATAAGGACTGTTCTGGCTACCAATGTCTTTGAAAGCCTGTGTTTGTATATGAAGTTCAGAGGTTAAAGGAGTAGTGCAATAAGATATTTGAAATCTTAATACCACACAATATAATTCCAGAACTGGATACAGATTAAATTCTTTACTCATTTTAGAACCAATATATGTAAAAAAGATTTCAGGTTAGTAGTTATATTACCTTTAAACCAGCTGATCTGATTCAACAAACGATTGGCATTTTTAAAAAGATGAAAAAGATTGGCATTTTTTAATTGAGCCTACTTCAATTAAAAAATGCCAATTATAAAATAAGTTAGGTACATCGTGCACTAGAAAAAATTAAATGAACCAGATGGGCTCTTGTTTCCTTTCCAGTTATTCCTGTCCAGTTCCTCTGCCAGCTTCAGGAGGTGCGTGCCAAGGAACGTGAGGATGCTCTCTTTGAGTGTGTCCTCTCCCAGCCACTCTTCAGGGCAGTGTGGATGGGCAAGAACACTCCACTCGAGAATAGTGACAAATATGAAATAACAGTGTCTGAGGATGGACTGATTCACAGACTGCTTGTGAAGGATGTCATGCCTGTTGACAAGGGTATCTACTCCATAGTGGTTGGCATAAAATCTTCCAGTGCTTGGCTAGTTGTGGAAAGTAAGTCAAATCATTTATTGATCCACTGTGGTTAACAAAAAGTGCCAAAAATTGTGTTTTTACAATTTTTTCAAGGATATGTCATTTTAAGGATTTGTTATTTTAAGAGCATACAAGAGACAACTGTGTTGTGGAACAAAGCTAAAAGAATAATGCAATTAATACCATCCAAAGGCATTTCTTCTTGTCAGCATAACCAAATCCCTATGTCATTATCCATGCGTGTCTGATTTTAGCCCTGCTATCCCTCTCCCATTGTTTAACATGTTGATGTTACATTAAAAGATTGATTATAGCATGTACTGTACATACAGTAGATGCAGTAGATCCAAGCAGAGAATTACCATGTATTAAGCAAATAGAAATTCATGGCCATTACTAACTAAAAATCTTAAGATCATCATTGAAACCATTTGAAATTGCAAAGCATGCCATCCATTATTGAGTCTTTTTCTTGTATTTTATTTAATCCTAATCTGGAGACATTCAGTTATTCATGCTTCTGTCTTGATTACCCATAAATACAGTAAAAAGGATTGATCATTACATGTTAGACATCATCCTTATTAGCCATCTCCTTATTCATCACTCACATATCGTCATTTCCTCTTTCTATCTTCCTCCATCTGTTCCTGTGTACTCCATTTTGTTTCTGGCTAAGGTGATGAAGATGACAGTCCAAGTGCCCATGGCAAGAAGAAAGCCAGAAAAACTACCCGAGCTGGTGGGGGAGGGACTATGATTGAGAGTCTAGCCAGAGAGCAAGCAGAAAAGCTGAAAAAACTGTGGTATAAGGCTGAGGAAGAGACTGGAGCTGGGCAAGGGAATGATCCTGGACCTGGAGTAGGTTCTGGCACTGTTGCTGGAGCTGGGGCAGGGCTAGGGGCAGGTACAGGGGCAGGGATCAGTGCAGGGAGGGAAGCAGGTAAAGGTGCAGGGATAGGAGCAGGTTCAGAAAGAGGGGAAGGGCAAGGGGCAGGACTGGGGGCAGGTGTATGTGCAGGGGTAGGGGCAGGCACAGGGGCTGGGAACCAGAACCTAATTAATGGGTTAGATGACAACAGGGGAAAGGGAGGAGTAGGGCAAAGGATGGGAGGAAAAGGAGTACTAGGGGTAACTGAGGTGGGTGGTGACCAAAGTGAAGGAGATGGCAAAAGAGGAAAGGGAGAGCTAGTGGATGGAATGGGAAATTTAGGAGGTGGAAGTGGAGGTTTAGGGGGGTCTGGGGCAGGACAAGGTGGCTTAGGAGAAGGAGAAGGTGATTTACAAGACAGTAAAGTAGAGCAAGGGGGATTAGCTGATCGGCAGGGAGGATTGGGTAGAAAAGATAGACAGCTGGGTCATGGCCAAAGTGAAAAAGGAGACCTTGGAGATGGATCAGGAGCTGGCAAAGGGTGTCCAGGAGAAGAAGGTGGAATGGGTACTGGGGATTGGTCTGGAATGGACTCTGGATTAGAAGGGGCCAGGCTATCAGGAAATGGAAGAGGAGAGGGTGGCAACTCAGGGCTTGGTGGTACTCGATTAGTATCTGGGGATGATGGCAGAGGACTCACAGATGAGCAAAACAGGAAAAAAAGACATGCTGGACGTGGGCCGCTGATTGAGGACACTATTGTTGGTATGAGCTCTACAATGATCACAATGTCTGCTGCATGGCAGCTGTACTAATTCAAGCATGCATCACCCTTTTTTGTTACAGACCATATTATTTTATTTTAATGCACATTGCTACTGTATATTTGCTGACCCAGTTATGTTCCTTCTTTCATTCAGATTATATCTTTAATTAAGTACAGATGTTGTTATACAGAAAATACTTCAAGTGAACTTTTGATGCAGAAAACTATTTAATACAACTATTAGTTACAGAGAGGTCAGCTATAGACTGTTATAAATGAACCTGACCTTTTGACTTAATCCAATTTGTATGAAGGAACCTGTGCATATAGCACTATGAATAAATTAGATGTAATTGCTGTTGTGTTTTATAAGGTCATTGAATTTACTATTTAAAAATAACAGCTACAATGCAGATAAAATTGATATGATCTATAAGTATTTGTGTTTCATGGAAAATGGGTTACAAACCATTTCTACTGGTGATGCTGTTCACATACGTACAGTAGTTCTGAAAACAACAACTTTGCTTAATAATTTGAGACATGTTTGCAGAATGTTCCATGAATTGTCTCCTTTTGCTGATTTGCAGAACCTGGAGTTCACTTCACCTGTGGGCTGTCAGATGTGCATGCCTGTAAAGGGCACCCTGCTGAGCTTGTGTGCAAGCTAAGCAGTGACCAATCAGAGGGAATCTGGTTTAAAGATGGAGAGAAGGTGAGAATTAATTCTGCACTATAGTACAGACATACAGTAACACCAGTGTTAGAATTCCATAATCCTGGAGGTTTAAACAGATACCTTTGTATAATCATCGATTAAGACCTAGGAAAAACAACTAGTTTTACTTCTCATCCAGTTAATTAGTTAAGGTATGCCATTAATGAAAGAAAAACAGAAATAATAATGTGGAACCCCAGCACTGCAGTTGCCTGCCCCTTCCATAGGTCCCAGGTCTCCAACACTAGCCCTGGGAAACCCAACAGATATTCATTAAATCATACATTTCTTAAGACCTTGAAACTGTTGCAGTATTTAACTATGATTAAACTGGTAATGTGTTAAATTCAGTAAATCATAGATCCTTTGGAGTAAAAATCTGAAGATCCTTCAACCTTCAAAGATCTGAATTATTTTAATTGGACAAATTAATTGCCAAACTGATCAATAACTTGCAAGTGTTCCTAAAGTTCAATAAAAAGGCTGTTATACATTAAAGTATGGACTGAGGATCCAAGTTCAAGTTCAAGTTCAAGTTTATTGTTTTTATACTCATACACAGGTACTGTATATGGTATAACTAAATGCTGTTTACAACAGGCAATGAACAACACAACAACAGGCAATGTTCAAAACAACAACAGGTAACAGGTCATGTGCAGAACAACATCAGTTGTGCAAAATCATACTTCAATAGAATGAAATAAAGGATAGAAAATTATGGGGAGTGATCTTCTTGACATGTGAGGTAGAGGAAGATTTCAATGTTTGTTTGAGTTTTGATAAAGAGAGAAGGCACAGTGAGGGTTCAGATCGTAGGTGAGAGAGGCAGGGAGTTGAATAGTTTGATAGTTTGATAGTGCAGGGGTAATAACTGTCTGTCCAAGACCAGAAGTAGAAAGCTATGCTCTAGGGGAATATATTTACAGTGCAGATTACGATTAAACTGAAAAGTACAATTGAAAATGACAATGACTGAAAACTAGAAGGGGTTGTGTGTGTCTCCATGTTGTTACATCCATGTGGGCAATGTAGACAATCCAAGATAAACATGGATTTAACATGATAAAGAAAAAAATGTGCCACTTTTTTACGGAAGCAAAAGTTCTGATAATCCCGGTCAGAGTGATTTTGTATAGACACTATAATGAATGTAGACCACAGAGACACTTTAACCTTTGACTTTTGTGTAAATCTGTCCACAGCTATCACCCAAGGATGGACTGTCTATTTCCAAAAAAGGAGCTATCCATAAGCTAATCTTGTCCAATGTTCAGGACTCTGATGCAGGGAAATACAAGTTTGAAGCAGAGGGACGAAAAACAGAAGCACATATAGTTGTTGAAGGTTTGTGTATCTAGTTTTTTTGTTTTAATATGTAGAATTTGTTTCAGAATATACAAATTAACTATTATTTTCAAAGCAAATCCCAAATGTGTATTCACTAGGAATTACAAAAGCCAACAATCAGGTATATTAAAAGGTTTGCTTTGGGTTTTTTAAAGTTACAATAATTTGTCTTAACCTCCTTGTCTGATGGTTAACCTGGCCATAGGATGAGGAAGCTAGAACCCCCTAGCAGAGTAGGAATGTGACCAAGGGGTGGCTGCACAGGTGGAAATGGGGTGGAGGAGGAATGCAAAAAGGTATGCAAGGGAGAGGAGATAGTGTACAGTATGTACAGTATGTATAATGTTTAAGTGAGGAAATGTTGTGAGGAAATGTCATAATTGATTACAAACTACAGACACCTGAGACTGATTGAACTTGGCGGTTATCATCCCTCTTAGGCTTCCATTATAAACTCAATTAGTAAAAATGTGCTAACTTGACAAAATGACAATTAATAACCAAGGTTTACTCTATTTCATGTCTATGCTGAATAATCTAGGTGAAAATCAATCTTTTCCTGCACTTCCATATTATACTGATGATAAAACAGGCAAAAGTTTTAAACACTTTTCTTACATGAGGAATTAAAAAAGAAACTGCTGCAAAAATATAAATGACACAGAAACATAACTCAAATATGATTTTGTTTTTATTTTAATGTTTTTATGATATTTCACATAAAAAATAGAAACAAATAGAAATTAAAATGGAATAGACATAGAATATAAATTTCAAACACAAGGAACAGAACACATTTTAAATATACAGTATCAAATATCTCACCAAGCTTTGGTTTGCAGTGTTTGTTTCTTTTATTCCCCCATAATCAGATCCTCCTGTGCTGGACAAAGAGGAGCTCCAGACGTTTTCGCAGCCCGTGACTGTGAAGGCTGGGCACAACGCCGTGTTCAAAATACCATTCGAAGGGCGGGAGCCTTTCAAGGTCTCTTGGTTCAGAGATGGCGAGGAGCTTCAGGATGACGTCGGTGTGAAGGTGGAAAGAGGGCCCAACCACAGCCGCCTGCTCCTCAGCAAGTGCCAGCGCAAGGACAGTGGAGACATAAAGGTCAAGGTCAAGAACGAGAGCGGTGCTGTCGAGGCCATGACCAGGCTTGTTGTTCTTGGTAAGAAAAACTGAAAGAGCACTACTGAGAGACAGAAGGCAGCTCAGAGCACACACCAATATATACAGTTGTTTACATTGTTGATTTTTATTTGTGGAAAAAATGTTATAACATTATTACAATGGAGGGTTCAGAAAATGGAGAATAAGCAGGAATGGACCAAGTGGCTTAGTCAATAACTAAAATAATCAGAACACCCAAATTGTAAAGAGTTCTCCAAGAATATACCCAAGCAATTGGGTCATGTGTAATAAAGAGTGTAATATAGAGTCATGGGACTTCTTTCTTCTCTGACACAGTTTTGGTGAAGAGTATAATTCAGGCATACTTGGTTAAACAAATATTTATTAACAATGAAAATGATGTAAAACTACACTACACACAACATAAACACAGAAAACACAGCTTTCTCTACAAGTTTACAGACTATGTGTTTCAGAGACCTAGGTCTAGACCACACAGAAAACCCCAGACTGCAACCTAAAGTTTACAGAGGCCAAAATAAGAGATATGCAAACTTCTGAACAAAGTGCAATACAACCTGTAGTTAAACCTTTCTTACTGCAAGCCCGGATACCATGAAATAAATGGAAGTCTATTGGGTCTTTTCAGAGGATCTTCCTCCTCTCTCCTCTCTCTCTTAGGGGCTGAGATTATTTTTCTCCTTTTCCCTCTTGTGCCTGATCTGACCATTTACCCAGAATTTAGTTAACCAAGGCAACCCAGAAGATTATTTTGATTAGGGTTTATCCCACCCAGCACAACTAAATAAACATTCCATGATATGAAGCTCTGGGAAGTGGAAATATTGACACTAGTTAAGTGTTACCTGTTGTGTCGAGATTCTTAGAGAGACCTCCATTATCTACCTCAGCTTGTAACAATATTAAATATGAACATATTTTTCTTATGTAGTGTAACAATGAAAATGCCATTTGAGATAGTCAGATTAAAGACAGTGGGCAGTTAAGAGGAGCAGTAATCCTTGCTTCATTTTGTGCTTAAATACATGGATGTATTTAAAACAATACATCAAATACATCAATACAATGCAAACAATAAAAAGCAAAAACCAGCAATTCAAAAATACTATTATGTAATAACAATATTAGTGTGGCACTAGGGATAATGTACTGTAACATGCACCTACTCCATAAGCCACATCATAGGGCTGCTCTTGTATCTCAAAGTATGGAGATCTTTATCTTTGAAGATATCACGCTTTGTTCCAGAACCATGGGACAAGCAATACAATATGCTACACTGTGTATCTGTGCCCTATACTGTATCACTTTTCATAACCAGGATAGTGTGTTGCCACTCTCTTCTTGCAGATAAGCCCACCCCTCCACAAGGTCCAGTGGAGGTGCTGGAGAGTTCACCCACACGCATCGGGATCAAGTGGAGACCTCCGCGGGACGATGGTGGCTCCCCAGTTCTGAGTTATTCTTTAGAGAGGCAGCAGGTGGGGCGCAACACTTGGTTGAAGTTGGGAGAAGTCCCTGGTACCACCACCACCTTTGCCACTAACCAAGTGGAGCACGGCAAGAGATACAGCTTCAGAATCCGGGCACACACAGCAGAGGGTGTCAGCAATGTGCTGGAGACTGA